ATTTTTAAATTGGCTTGTATATTTGTATTTTTCATTTTAATTTAATGTTTTTATGTTATGTTTGCTTTTTATGTTTTTTATATTATTATTATTTAACTTTGATTTATTTTTATTTTATTTGTACTGATTTTAGTATCTTTAACTAATTTTATTGTTTAAAATTAGTCAGTTGCCAAGGCAACATTTCTAAATTAAATTTTTATCTAATATTTATATTTTATTTTATTTCAGCATTATTTTATTTAACAAAAACAATTGTAATAGTTTTAGTTAATAACAACACTGGTAATTTTATAATACTTAATGATTTTTTTTTTATTTAATTTAGTTTTATATATTACATAACTATTTTTGGATAATCTAGTTAATTAAATATTTTACAAGTGAAATGCATTCACCCCAAATGATTTCATTATTATTTGCAAATGAATGTAGACTATTTCTACATTCTAAATTCTATACATTTCCATGTATATACCGTATTTCTGCCCAGGCCTAATTTTTCGTTTATTTCTTGCTCTAGTTTAATGTCACTCTGATGACACCTGAAAGGGTTCTAGGGCTCTTCATATATACCTGCTGACTCGTACGGCCGTGCTGCTGTGTTTCTGTGAAGGGCTAGAGCTGGAGGAGGAATCTCACTGGCTGCTAAAGGTCGCCGCTGATCAGCTGTGAAATAGAAAAGGTCACGGCGAGCTCTGAGTTCTGAGCAGCTCATTAAACAGAACGATGGACGGAGACGCAGAACAGATCGATTCGAGTAGAAAAGGGAACGTTGGCCTAGTGCTGGTGTTCAGAGGGAAATATGTACGTGTTTTCAGGAAGCTGTTACGGGTTACAGTTATAATTAATGCTAAATGGAACCTAACATTAGGGAAGAGTACAATTAGATCACCTGACCCACGAAATAACCTGTCATGTCTTTGTTACTCAGTTCACCTGGCGCGTGATTTGAGATGTATGAGGAATTACATGCTTTTGCTGTCCCTGAATATTTATTAGGAATCGTCTAACTAGTAGTACAGGTTTGAACGATCATGTAATTCGCAGCAAGGACACAGTGACAGTTGTTTTTGTAAACTGCAGTTATTATTTCACAATTCTTGTGGGTTGTTGGAGGTCTCGCGAGCTCCAGCTGCTGGTTTTTGGCAGTGGTCGTTGAGGGCTGTGGGCAGATGCTGGTTCTTGATGAGGGTATATGTGATTATTCTGAGTAATGTTGTCAAAAATGTAGATTTTTCGATACATATTGGTTATGAATATTCAAAACAGTTTTAATACTCATTTTCTAAGTACTGATGCACCATTACCAGCTGCGCTTTCTTGTTCTTGACTTAAAGTTGACACACTGTAGTGTGTTTTAATCAATCAATTTCCTCTTTTCTTTTCTTTTTTTTCTTTTTTTTTCTTTTTTTTTTGTGGATTTGTTTGTTTGGCTTTACGTATATTTACGTTTTAGTGATTTTGGTACATCATCTTTGTTTTATTTTATTTAAGTTTTTCATTTAATATTAATATTTTTATTTATTCCAATTAACAACAAAAAAAACGATTTCACTAGTTTTAGTAAAGGATAACAGACAATTTTTTTATAGTAATTTATGAATTAATGATTTTGTTTTATATATTGCATAATTACGTCATAATTTCTTTTTATGTATAACAGATTACAGTATTTTTTCCAAATTTGTAATCTTATCACAGACAATTAAAAGTATTTTCCGACAAAATAAACGCTTGAAGGATTAACTATTGAAATCAAGTCATAAGTATTTGTAATTTTACTAATATAAATTGAAATAATTAATATATGTATTTTTAAATATTAAAATGTGATTTTTATTATTATCGTATAATCCCACTCAGAGCTATCAGACATGAAGAATCTCAGACAGCAGAGTTTCAGGTGTTAAGAAAATACTTTGAATATTTTACTTGTGGTTTTGAAAATGGTATTGAATAATGGTATTTTTCGAGACTAGCTGAGAGTTTAAGCATGATGAAAAGTTTGGTGAGAATGAAATTATGATGAGAGTTCGATTGTGTTGAAAAGTATGATGAGAGGGATAGTTCACCCAAATGAAAATTCACTTAATTGCTGATAACATTGTTTTATTTGTACATGCTGCATTGTTTTAACTCCCAGTTCACAAAAGGAATTATGCAAATCTGTATAAAAGCTTCCCAAAAGATCCCACACCCCCAAATGAGTGTTTCACAGTGCATTTCCAAGTTTGCAGGCTGGTTCTGAGCACATTTCTGTGGAAGATTCAGCAGATTACTGCGGTCTGCTGTACTTTACTGTGACTGCATCATTCTCACTCACACACCTGAATCTGCTCTTTCATACGCAGAAAGTGCACTTGACTTTGCACATCTAGATGACAATAACTTCATTTCAATACATGGCGCTGAGATACTGCGCACAATAGTGGCGCAACCGTTTCGTGAATTGGCCCCTCTCGTCTGTGGTCTGTGGGCGCTTACAGGCATGATTGGATAATTACACATCCGTCAGTCTGTCATCATTGTGGTTTGTCACAGCTCTCCCTAGCTGTTAGTCTGACCACGGGCATTACACTGTCAGCTTTCATGTCTCGTTGTATAGATTTGTTTGGTTCAAAGGGGTCATATGATGCTTTTTTAAAGATCATTATTTTGTGT